CCTCCTCTCTGAACTCCCTCCTCGACCCCCTCATCTATTTCTTCCTCTGTAAGTCCTTCAGAAGCACTTTGTTCAAGACCCTCAGGCTTCCTTCTGGAACCTGCGACTGGATCACAGGGAGGACGTCGGACACGGACACAGGAAACACAACTTAGGGGGAAAAGAATTATAATGAATGTCCGGACTCTACAGACTGACTTAATACAATAAAACACAGTAAGACATCATCCTATTCTGGAGTGTGAATAAATGTATTATTGTGATTTTAGAAAAATGAGATGCGATGAGAGGAGTTGTCACTTTTGTATCTTCATCTCGAGTTGCCACAGTATTATACTTTTGAATGATTCAGCATAGATTTAACCTATGTGGGTGACGAGGGGTAATGGAACCCACAACCTATTACACGGTGCTGTAGGCAGTCCTGACTGAATTAAAACAAAATACCGACTGAAATACATTTCAAGGCCACAGATGTTGTAAACATGTCCTTGTTTATGGAAAAGGGTTCAGTTCCTGCTTTTTGTTTTGTGTATCATTTAAATACACCAAATATAGTCCAGGTCAGAACCTGTTTTTCTTTTTTTTTAGCCCTTCATGTTTTTAATTTTAGTCAAATGTTGTGTTGATTGAAGTCTTTTATAGACATGTAATAAAAGGGAGATTGTGACGGTCCTAAAGTCACGATGACCTTGATTTGTTATTCAAAGTCAGAAAATGCATCACAGCAACCTGAATAAACAGCGGCTGAACTGCACTGAATGGTATTTGAATACATTTCTGCTCCCTATGGAAGTTTACATGTCATGGGTTTGGAGCGGCCTCATGGAAAATGTTGACGCATCGCTCCAGTGAAGGTGAAGGTCAGAAGAAAGGTGTTTCAGGTGAGTCGTATTTTAGACTATTCTTTTTGAAAAGGCTGATTTGTTGCTTTGCAAAAGGTCATTCAATTTAATTAGATCTTTTTAATCAGGACCAAAAATAACAATCACATCACTCAATAACCTTTATTTTTATTAAGATTGTGTTAGGGAAAAGACAAACATCTGAAATAATAAATATTAAATAAATACTTAGCATTTTGGGTGATTTGTGTGTTTGTTTGTTTTTTATTTTTCCACTGCACAAAAAAAGTTATGGAAAAGACAGACAATACCTCTGGGCAGTAAGGATTTCTGGATGGCTCTGAAAATCTGATTTTAAACTGGTGTCAGAGTAATGTGTCATTTCTGTTTTCGCTGTTTCACAATCCTCTTCTTTATGAGTCAGAGTTGAAACCAAGTCCAACAGCTGTGTAACTTTCAGTGTCCGAGGTGGAAGTGCCGAGTTCAGCAACCAGGCTACATTCAAATGTTCTGGCTGAAAACCAAATGAAAGTAGCAAATGCTGTTGAAATGAATGACAAATGCAAATGGTGTACAACTGTCAGAGCTCCGGTCGGTCCAGAGCAGTGGGAATAATTTCCCTGTAGACATGAACTGTAGACCTCACATTTATCCATCGTACTCCTGAGTTCATTAAGACCACTGGACCCTCCACGTTCTTCTGGAGCTTCTTCTTCTTCATCATCATCATCATCATCTGGCTTTGGATCAAATACAGTATACATATATGACGGAATCACTGTTTATTTTTTATTATTATCCAGTGTACTGACAGTTTACCATACCTGCCAAATTGACATACATGACTTGCTGCTTAAGAGCACACAAGAAAACCATTTGATTCTTAGTCAGGTCTTCTGCTTCCAGAAGATGTGGGCGGAGCCTGCAATGGCTCATTAACATTTAAAGACAAAGTCAGAGTGACAGGTCTGTTGAACAGGTGTGTGAACCATCCAGCAGCGATCAGTCCTTCAGTTTTCTTTGACCAAAACATGTAAGACATCAAAGAATCATGTTTTTTTTCTTTTTGAAATTCCAGGTTCCAGGAAGATGCTGATTAACCTCCAATCAAACCTCTCATCTGAGTGACCTTGAACATGGCTTTCTCGTACGCCCTTTTCCTTCTGTTCCCCGTTGCCTCATTGTTGAATGGCGTAGCGACCGTGGTCTCCCTGCACCTGCGTTCCTCCTACACCTTCATAGTCTATCTGAAGAACCTGGTGGCTGCTGACCTGCTCGTGACTCGCACGCTCCTGCCGATGGCAGCTTCGATGCTTCCAGGAGCTTTGTTCTGGTTGAGGGTCTTTGCCTGTCGTTTGTCCAACGTCATTTTTTGCTCCTGTTTGTACACAAGCATCGCTCTGATGGGTCTCATCAGCCTGGATCGCTTCTTCAAAACTGTTCGACCTCATGGAAAACTGTTGGGAAATGGAGTGTGGGGTTCATTGTTGTGACGTCCACCTCAGTTTGGGTTTTTATTTTTGGCAGCACAACCATTCCCAACATCGTTCTGACCAACCAGAATTCCATCAGCGGCGTGGATGATTTCTGTATGTCCCTAAAAGGCCCGGCGGGTCAGTGGTTTCACAGCTTCGTAGTTTTGTTGGACGTTGGCTGGTCAGCCTTCTGATTTCACTCTGCTACATCTGCATCACCCTGAGGGTCCTGCAGACCTTCAGGAAGTCTGGGCGCAACAACAGCCAAAGAATGAGGAAGACAAGTTTTCTCCGTTCTCTTTGTGTTTCTACTGTGTTTCGTACATTTCCACATTGTTCGCATTTCCTTCATGAAAAATGAAGTCACTGGTCAGTATAACTGCTCAGGACTGTGGGTGAAGATACTCCATGACTCCTGCCTGTGGATGTCTACCACAAACATCTGTCTGGACCCTCTTCTCTACGTCTGTCTGTGGAGGGAATACAGGAACCAACTGCTGGACCTGAAAAATAGATGGATCAGTCTGATCAGAGTCGGATGAGAATGATCAGACCTGGAAAAGTTGCAGAGGAAGTAGTTTTCCTTTTAGCTACAAAGACTTTATTGTAGAGATTTTGGATTTCCAAAAAGTCCACAGGCCACTCACACTGCTTGAGTAAATTTTAAGGTTTAGTATTTATTTTACGGTTGCCCTCTGATGCCCCCTAGCGACCTCGGTGCATCTGTGAGGCTTGGTGCAATGCTCTGTAGATAGGAACAGCTGAGAGAATATAAACAGAAGAGTTTATATATTGAAAGAGTTTCAATGTGAAACACAATGCAAAATTCAAATGTACCTTACATTTGTATTAGTTATTATTTTAAATTAGGGATTTGAACCAGCAATCCTCCAATTACGAGCACGTCTCAGTTAAATGTGTGAAATGTTTGAATCTGTCTTAATCTGAAACACCCACAGTATTTTAGCTCCTATTGACCCTGAGGGGAGCTGATGCCCCCTCTCGGTCACATATTGGTACTGCCGGTTTCTGCAGCATCTCTCAGTGACCCTCAGTTTCTGGCTGAGGACCATCAGGTTTTTCCTAGTTTTGCATAGGTCCTGGTCAATTTGATGTTCTCACACAGTTGGAGTGTACATTTGTTTGTCAGGAAAATCACCAGAGTTTCTTGAACAAACACTTTGTCAACAGCACCTCACAGCTGGGACCTCTGAGCAGAGTGAGTCGAGGCATCAAACGTAAGTGTCTACTTTAATATCAGGATGTTTTCTACATATGTTGTGTTGAGTTAATATGGTACAACTTGATGTCAGGAATACAACCTCTTAGTGAAAGTTTGGCCACGGTTTAAAAACTGTGCGTAAATTATTATGTTTTTTTAAAATTGCCATTTATGTTCTAAATATTGTAAAGTCCGTGATCTGATTTGTGCTAAAAGTTAAAAAAAAATTATTTGAGAAATATATCTGCTCTGTGAAACTTTCAAAATAAGAGATATTGAAAATTCTTTGGTTTGTTTTATCAGTTGAATAAAGCTCAGCATAAAATGTATCATATTATGTTCAGTGTTTAAACCAATCTTTTTACTTTATTTACATACCATATTAGACAATGCTTCACACCTATTTTTGCAAAAAATCCCAAACTCATGGCATTGTTTCCAGATTATTTCCATTTGTATTTTATCATTACATACCAGAACAGATGAGTTCAAACAAATGAGTTTTGTGTTAAATTCACCCCTTTCTTCAGGTGCAGTGATGTCCAATCAGACGTCTTCTGGTGACCCCAATTGTGACTGGTTATTCTCTAACAGGTACATTGTCCCGACTCTGTACTTCCTGATCCTACCCATAGGTCTGGTGCTGAACGGTGTAGCGGCCTGGGTGTCTCTGCACCTCCCCTCCAACAACACCTTTGTGGTGTTCCTGAAAAATCTCGTCGCTGCTGACCTTATCATGACCTTGCTCATCCCCATCAGAGCAGCCAATGATCTGCCAGGAGCCTCCAATACAATAATAATCATTTCCTGTAAATTTTTCAGTCCACTGTTCTACAGCGTGCAATACACGTCCATCACGCTGCTGGGCCTCATCGGCGTGGACCGATTCTTTAAGATCATGTGTCCACACAACAAGCTAGGTCAGAACTTGACCTTCAGCAAAGTTCTCTCTGGTTCCATCTGGGTGGTTCTGTTTGGAAGCATGGCTTTACCCAATATCATTCTCAGTAACAAACCAGTGGTCAACAGGACTGACACGGTCAATTGTATGGTTCTGAAGGAACCAGTGGGACTGGACTTCCATCAGGGGAGTATTATTTTTGTCATGGCTCTGTTCTGGCTGGTCAGTGTGGTCATTACCATCTGCTACATTTGCATTACCAGAAAGGTCATCCAGTCTTTTAAGAACTCAGCCAGCAGCAACACCAGGGGTCAGCAAAGGATCAAGCTGCGAGTTTTTCTGGTGCTGATCGTGTTTTTGGTTTCATTTGTTCCGTACCACATCGTCAGGATCCCTTACACCATCATGCAGGTCAACCGTTCCTCCCAGATTTACTGTTTTTATCTGAAGATAAAGTTTGCCAAAGACCTCACGCTGTGGCTGGCCAACACCAACATCTGCCTGGACCCACTGCTCTACGTCTTCCTGTGTCGAGAGTTCAAGGAGAAACTGCTCTCCATGATGGAGAAGGTCTTCCACTGCATCAGAGTGGCTTCACCTGGAAAGGTAGAACCTTCTCCTCCACACGGTGGTCTCCAAGACAATGGTCAGATAAAGGTCATGGCCATAAACCATGATGATGATGATGCCTCAGCCAACTGATAAAACATGAAAAAAAAAAATCTGTATGGGACAACGTCCAATTAGCGCTGATGTTGTCTTTTAATCTAAAGGAACAGATGAGGGTAAGAACCAATCAGCGCTATGTTTGTTGGTTAGAAGGTGGGCCATCTAAACAGAGAGCCAATCAGAGTGAACATTTGTGGCGTAGTAGAATAAACAGAAGACAGTATGAAGACAGGAGCAGGAATAGCCTGTAGTCTGACTAAAACACATGGTTGGACAGATGTCCGGAAACACTTTTTATCTTAATATGTTAGTTGACTAAATTGGGACAAAGATTAAGGCTAAATAAAATTGGCTAAAAATCACAGTCATATTTTATTGGGACAGATGTCGAATGTGTGCATCAGAGGAGTTAGGGCACGGCAGATGATGTTGACTAAGTCAGTGGCTCTTCTGTCACTCCCAGGAGCTGGCCCTGCTGGGTTTCCATATCCCAGATTTGTGATGTGGGGGGCACAGGTGAGAGCAGCCTTCAACAGTTCCAAGAGCACTGAGGTTCTCTCTGAGGTGATGGAACTGATTGACACAAATTGAACAACCACAACTTCAATAAATTCATACATAAACAATTTCAAATTCTGTAAACTCAGCATGCTTTGTGTGAGTCTCACTTCCTCTTCATCAGTGCATGTGGGTCATGTGGCCGTGGACTGGTGACCCTGCTGTACAGTAGAGTCTGATGGAGGTCACATTCAAACTCTGTGAGTGTGAGCCATCACACTGCACCCTTCAAGGACTTTTACCTTCACTCTGCCATGAAATGACAGTTTAATGGTTACATTACTTTTTTTCCGTCTATTAAGTCATGTTCTGATCCAGGTTTAGTCATGTTTGATTTTGTTTTGCTGTTTTGTATCTTTTTGCTGAGCTTGAAGCCATACAGAGGGAATAAATGGTAAATGGTAATCGATAATTACACAGAAGAGCTCATGTGATCATGTGTGGTTAACTTGAAATTGCCTCAGTGTTGACTTTCATTATATTTTTATTTTTGTTTTTTCACCATTACTGGGGATTTGGAATCAATGTGTGTTGTGTGAATTTGGTCCAAACTATTAAAACTGACGTTACAGACAACAAATACTGTGTGTTTTTTTAGTCGTTGAGTCGTTTTCATGGACCAGCAGTACATGATCATCTGTTTGTCTCTGCTGTTATCTTGCGTGGTGTGCAAAAGACAGGATGATAAAAGTCATGTTGGGTGGAATGTCAATGTTTTGCGTCACCACAGCTGGGCCAAAGGTTGTCCTGTGTTTTTGTCAGGAAATGCAGTGGTTTATGCAGTAAGTAGGTCACCCATGTCAGTCAGTGCAGTCAGCCCCCCCAATCATAGCCAATCATATTTTAGCCTCATGTGTTGCCAGGTTGAAAAAAAATCTGCCCTGAGGCCTTCAGAATCATTAGTATGAGAGTGGCAATGATGTTTTTTCTGTATCCAATCAGATTTTGAGTTGGCATCGCGCGGTAATACCAAGGCATTCTAGCTGATCCAGAGAAACAATGGCGATCTGGGTGATTTGATTGGATCGGAGTCTTGAACCTCAGCGATTTAAAACCTTTGCCATAAAAAATCATTAGCATTGATGACGATAGAAAATGACTTGTTGTTAGAAGTGTAACGCACAGATTTGAACACCGATTGAACTCCTCGCTAGGAAAGAGAGGAGGATGCAATTGTCTGGACAGGTAATCAGAAGTTTTAAAAGAGCAAAATTAATTTTGTCTTTTTAATCAGATTATAATAGTATTATGTTGTTATTGACTGCGTTTATGTAGATTATGTCACAGCTGTGGCTGAATTGTGCTTCGCTGGTTTGTTGTTTTAGGCGTTGTTTTAGGCATTGTTATGGCTACATGAGTAAGGTAGAGTATAAAGACTTGTTAAACTTGAATTCTCAGTACTATGGTTGGTTTCTGTAGCATAATGAAGTAATAAGGCTGTAGGTTGGTTCAAACAGGACGCCACTGAAGGCTTAGGTCAGGAATACAGGGTACCCCACTGGGTTGGATTAGATTAGACTTCACTGTCATTACATGACACATGAACTCAGCAACAAAATGTAGATTGTATCTAAGCAGATGTACCCCAGTCTAGTTATCAGTAATGGATAGAAAAATAGAAAATACTGTTTTCTGTCATTACTAGAGGGGAAGTATTTACTAAAAGATTCAAAGTGAACAGTTATCAGTCCTCAGGCTCAGTTCATTCTGACTGTATGTGAAAATAACAGTAAACATTTCATGAGAATAAAGTTGTTGTTGTAACATTCTGTCCAGTGAAACCACAGCCTGTCTATGTTCTGAGGCCTGACGTTAACGATGAAACTAGGCAGCTGTATGACAGGTATGTAAGAACAGTCTAGGTGGAAGTGGTCTCTAGATGTGGTCACTGAAATGAGTCCATGGTTTAAGTGTGTGCAAGTCAACAGCCGGCGAGATTGATGCAAACGAGCAGAGGCAGGAGTTCTGGCAGCAGAGCAGGAGAAAGGCTCGCTGCAGACAATTGGAACAGGAAGCTCGGAAGGAAAGGCTCTTTCACCCGGAGGAAGACTAGAAAACTCTTTGGGACTGTGACAAGACAGGCGCACAGTAGCTCCAGAGACCACCCATTGTAAGAACTTCAAACACACACACACACAAACACATATATAAAGAGGAAGGAAATAGTGAGAAAGACACCGTCAGAAGCCTCCAGGTCTCAGCACTGTTCTTTATTTTTTTCTGTAATTTAAAAGTAAGATATTTCTGCAGTTTAATTTTCTTTCGGTGAGTTAGAAGGAGAAGAAAAAGGGAATTAGCTTTTTCACTTCTTCCTTTTTGAAAGGATCTGCACGTTTCTTTGCTTTGTTGATTTTTTTTCTTCACATGCATCAAAGCCACAGACAAGAAGGACGCACTGACAAGGTAAGACTGAGTAACTGATCATGTTAAACTGTCATATATGTGAAGGATTTTCTATTGATTGTTACATAGGCAGGGCACACAGTAGGTGATGTGGAGAGTGTGCTCGCCTGACAGCAAGAAGACCATTCTGTTGCTGGTTCAAAGCCCTGATCCTTCACACGGACTCGCAGACTTTTTATGTCAGTTGTCCTCTCTAAAATGACTGTGTATAGTTGTTTGTCCTGTCATAGTCTTGAGAACTGTCCAGACCATAACCCAGACTGCCAGCAACAGCCCCCACACCACTCTAATAGAAGATGGACAAATTCATTAATTAATCAAAATGGATAAAATCTTCAAAATTGTCATCATGTCGTTCCATCGTCATTCACTTTTATATATATATATCAACACTGTCTTTCTCATCACTTTTCTGCCTTTTTTTGGTGGTTCCATAGTGTAGCAGTTACCAGAAAAGGGCAGAGAGGTCTGGGTTTAATTCCAAGAAAAACCACATGTCCCTAATGGCGCCTCCTGTGGCAGCTTGTGTTAGTTGCAAAGACTAACGCTGTACATTTCCACATTGTGAGATTAATAAGGGACTTATTGTTATTTTCCCACTGTTGCTGAAGGTCCACTGAAGGTCAGAAGATGAACACCACCCTGTCCAACAGCTCCATCAGGTGTGTTCGTGACACCAGCGTCACGGCTGTGCTTTTCCCCTGTCTGTACAGTATCCTCTTTGTCATTGCCCTCATACTGAATTCTCTGGCTGCGTGGATCTTCTTCACCCTCCCCAGCACCTCCACGTTTGTGGTCTTCCTAAAAAATGTGGTAAGACTTGGAGTGTGTTGATGTTATAAAAGTAGAGCAAATGAATTGGACAAACGACAAAAAAAAGGTTCTGTGTTAAAAACAGGTGGTAGCTGACTTCCTCATGACCCTGACCATCCCGCTCAAGGTCTTAAGTGACACCGGCGTGAGTTTCCGTGCCTTTCACTGCCGGTACTCCGCCGTTCTCTTCTACATCACCATGTACATCAGCATCCTCCTGCTGGGCCTCATCAGTCTGGACCGATACCTGAAAATAGTCAAGCCCTTTGGGAAGTGCGCCCTGCAGCGTGTCCGCGTGGGACAGATCCTGAGCGCGGCCGTCTGGCTGGTGATGCTGTCCTTAGCGCTGCCTAATGTCATTCTGAGTGACCAACCACCCAAGATCTCTGGTGGCAAACTGAAGTGCTCGTCCATGAAGAGCCAAGCTGGTCTGATGTGGCACGAAGGATTCAACTACTTCTGTCAGGTAATCAATACCTGCGTCCAGGTTTAAATACAGGTTAGGGTCTGGTGGTCAGTCACTGATGATCAGCCATGGTTAACAGACCTTGATATTATCCTGTGGATGAACCCAGGGACACCAGGTCCAGCTGCTGTCCCTGAGAAAACAACAGTGTCTCCATGGCAACAATAAGAATAATAACAACATAAACCAGATGTAAATACTGTAATATATATAGCAGGCCTGTCAAACTAATATTTTCACAGTCAAGTAGTGATTTTTACTGTTATAAAATTATAAATTATAGAATTCCTAAAAATTCTGGGAGTCAAAATGATGTGTATTGAAGTTCTAGTTGTTAAGATTTGCATTAAACACAGTCACTGCATCCTCAGGAGTCCATACAGTAAATAAGCAGGTGAATATTTAGAAAAATATTTTCAATGGTGTCTTCAGTAGTTTTAAGGAACCTTAACCAGTCCTGTCGCCTCCCCTGAATTGTAAATACAAACACAGGGGCAAAGACGTGATATTCATAATTCAAGAAAATAATAACAAAACAGAAAAAAAGCAAGTTTTTCTTTTTAATGAATGTATAATTCAAGCATAAAGTCCAAAAATATAAAGGGATTCAGAGCAGCCAGGATTATGTCAAACTGGTCAAAAACTGCCTTTTATTAGTATTTTATTTCAGAGGTTTTTGCTATTTTTTTAAACTGTGTATATTTAACATTTTCCATTTTTTGCACTATTTATTTATCTGTTTACAAAGAACAACAGCATTTGAACATTTGAACAGTCTGACCTGGTAAACATTGAATGTCAAGACCTTTGTGTGAGTTTCCTGTGGTACTTTCATCATGCGATGCAGGTGGTTTTCTGGGGCACCCTGGCTCTGATGCTGGTTTGCTACACCTTCATCAGCAAGAAGGTCTATGAATCATACAAAGCATCAAAGAGCAGATCTCAGGCTGCGAGTCGCAGAACCAAGGCAAAGGTCTTTGTGGTGGTGGGGGTGTTCTTCATCTGCTTTGCCCCCTTCCACTTCACACGCGTCCCATACACTCTGACACAGACTGGCAGCATGGTGAGTGACTGCTGGGCACAGAACGCTCTCTATATTGCAAAGGAAACAACCCTGTGGCTGTCAGCCACCAATGTGTGTCTGGATCCACTGATATACGTGTTCCTGTGCAAAGGCTTTCGTCAAAGACTGATGGCCACACTCTGCCGTAAGGTCCTGCCCAAAGGCACTGCACACACTCCCACGGCGACATCCACCCAGATGGAAATGTCATAAATAGCCCAGAACAACAAACTGTCTAATAAGTATGGAATGTCATAACAGGACAATAGGCGGAGTATAATGGTACACAACTGTGATAGGTCAAGACAGGATGTGAGGAAACAGAGAGATATCAGTTTGTCATGTACGTAGCTCTTTATCCAAATAACATTACTGGTAAAAAAAAAATCTGCTAAAAATAAGGCGTGCTCATGAAAATGTGTTGTTTGTGTTGCAACGTCAGCTGCACTGTCATTATTACTGTGCGCCACACATGTGCTTCTGTTTATTAAGTAATCTGCAACATTTCCTTGGGTGGACATGTCATTTTTCACTTCCTTTTTTCTAATCTTGCTCGAACTGCACTTTCCCTTCAGCAAACATTTACTCCAGCATTAAAATCTTCACCAGAGACGTTTTCGCTGCAGAAACAACATGAACCCAAACGTGCTGCCAATGATCGCCGCTGGTAGCAGAATCAGTCGAATGTGACTTTAAGTATGAGCAGTAAAAAGAAACTTCTGAATTTTGTGTCACAAGTGAATGAGGTTTGTTTTGAGAGAAAACTATTTCATGTCCCCGGACTTGATTGATTTGCTCTACATTTAATGGACGTTACCACTGAAATGACACTGTGAATTTTTTCAAACAAAAAAGACAATGTCAGGAGCACTTTTAGATTTTATTTTTTAGATTTGTTTGAATTGTTATTTGTATTATTTTTGTTTTTAATAAAACAGATTGATGAGCTTCAGTCGTTTGAACAGTTTTCCATTCCAGGTTGGTTCTGATTTGAAAGTGCTTCATTTTTGAGTTGTTAAATACAAATCTGATCAAATCAAAGTTAACCCAGCTCAACACTGGGCAGATATGATGGTAAAAACCTTTTGTTGTCAGTTTTAGAAATCTGTGACCTGAACTTGTAAATATTGAATTGTCATGTTAAAAGAATAAACTATTATAAGATAAAATAAATATAGCTGTTTTAGGTCCTATTGAAATGTCTGAAATGCATTAAAATGTGTACACTGTATTTAACTGTGTAAATGTGTAAATCTTTTTGTCCTTTTATATATATTTTATATAACGTCCTGTTGCAAGACTGTTTAAATGTGCTGTATTCCATCCTATTATCTTAACACAGTATTTTATCTTATCATTATCTGATGCACACAGTAAATGTTGACTGACTGACAGTTCAAACAGCCACTCTGAAAACCACCACAGCATCTGATTGGCTGTGAGTCATACTCAAGCAGAGTAAATATATAAAAGTAAAATGAATAAAATGATTCCAAGACAGTGAGAGAAAGGCTTCCCTAATGGCTGTGTTGGAATCCAGTCACCTCCCATCTGATTTATCCTGATGTGTACGCGTGGCTCTGATTAATGTAATAATGAAATATGATCTTCCTCCATTCCACCCACTGTCAGCTACAACAGGGCTGATATTTGGGCAGGAAATTAATGAGCTGCAGAGTATTGAAGCGCTGACTGCAGCCAGGGGATGGGACCCATTCGTCAGCCTCAGATTAAATCCTCTGACGGATGACCCTGCAGTACAGTGAATTATGTAGAATTCTGAATGGCATTTAAGGAAATTAAACAAACCAGGGAGACAGTGTCACCCAGCACCATGCAGGGAAGCCAGGTGGGGCTGAAAGAGCAGATAAATGGGGGCAAATGAAGGGAGGGGTGCATTGGTCTGTCAGAGGAAAGGCTTTTGACTGATCGTCATCTATAGAGCAAAAGGTTTTGACAGAAGTTTGACAGAGCAAGACAAACAATTTTACATTTTCAGTTTGTCCAAACAGTGATTAAAATGATTAAAAAAATAAATATTAGTAGTTAACAGCCTCTATTGGTGGCTTGTGGCCATATTTGCCCTGGTGTGTGTAGAAAAATAGCAGCCCTGAGTTATCATTGCAATACAGCAATACATTTCACAACCATATCACAATACATACACACAAAAAAAGCAAAATCACAGCCAGATTACAAGTAGTAAAGTAAAATCTGACAATTTATTTCATTTTCAAGTAAAATAAATTGGAAATAAATTCCTTACAATATAAAAACACACACATCAATACATTTAATGCATTTGTTTTAATATGCAGATATGATAAAACAGTATTGTTCTTACACTTTAATGTTGATTATCATCATTTGAAGAAGCAGTAACCACTAAACTAATTTAGAAACTGCAGCTAAGACACTCACTTATCCTATTCCACTGGTGTATTGGTCCCAGGAGAAGTGGGTATACTCTTAATTATTAGGTGTGTATATTAAACTTTGTTTTAACAAAAACAGCTGGATACGCCTTGAGTTTGATAAATGTTTCTTTTTTTTTACATTTTAAAAGATACAATGCAGGTTAAAGATGAGTTTGAATGTTAAGAGCAAATACGTTAAACACTGACTTGTTAGAAATTGAAGGTTTTTACATTCTCTTTTCAAATAAAGAACCAATGGCGTATTCAATAAACTTTCCTCCTCTGAAGGCAGGGTCCTGAACGCAGCATACGCACACGTGACACCCCGGTTTTGGTCACGGGATCTGTTGCTCTCGTCAGCCCCAAAACAAACCAACATGGCGGACGTGGAGGAACCGCGGAGGCTGGTGGAGGAAGAGGATGAAAATGTACCCGGAGACGGACCGACTCCTGCGGAAACCAGCAAACCGATGTCCGCCGTCTGTGACCCGAGTCACCTGCTGCATCGGGTCATCGTCCTGGTCTTTATGTGCTTCCTGGGATTCGGTAAGCGGCGAAACATCCTGACCCGGTCCTTACTGCTTTTTTGACACTAATTCTTTAATTTATTTAGTTATAAATGGAACCATTAGTTTGGGAAAAATAGGAATATAACTGCACTAACTATGTTAAATATCGAGTACTTTACGAGCGAGGAAGGCATTCTTAACTCTTAGGCTTAACTTAAAAACAGATTCTACTTCACGTTGTATTATTAATATAAAGTAACACTTACTGTATATACACGCCTCCAGAATTTTGAATCCATTCACTTTTAAAGGCATGATAAAAAGTCGTCTAAGTCATGTGATAAAATAAATCTGAATATTTCAAAAGAGGGAAAACACTCTTACAGAGTTGTCAAAACATGTTGAAAGAGTTTAAGGAAAACCTGCACACAGGGAGAACATGAGAACGTCACACAAAAAGATCAACCATTAGAGCCAGGTATTGAATCTGTGATATTCTTGCTGTAAGGCAAGTGCACTAATCATTCCTCGCCTTTCCATGGTTGAATATTGTATATATTGAATAAAGTGTAAAAACGTCATTGAGATTAAACGTCTCTTTAACAAGTGTGTCCCAGCAGCAGCAGCAGCAGCGCGGTGTGGTCCTACTAACCGACAGACAAACAGCATAGAACAATTTTAGTCTTATGTCGAGCTGAAATGACAAAACACAAGGTCGTGGTTTAGAAGAAGAAGATCATTTGCTGATCTGTTTCCCAGGACTCAACTATTTTCCCCTTTTTAACAGGAAGTGAAAACAACACACAGAATGAAGACTGTTGCTCATATCGCTGTAGCACTACCACATTCAAGTCCCACACTTTTTTATTGTATCCTCTGTGGGAAGCCCTGTCGTCTGTTGTGTTTTTTTGTTTTGTTTTTTTTATCTCCCTTGTGTTTCTTATTTATTCTTGTTTAAGCCTAAAGGGGAGTTATGAAGAAACCAGAGTCAGATTCCTTGTGTTTACTTTCATACTTGGCTCTGAAAGTTGAATGTGACTGACAGCCAGTGATTCAGTTGACATGTAGATCAGCCGTTCTAAATTTCTCCGCTTCTATGTGTCCTATTTCTTACCTTTCAAAAAACAAAAAACTGCCACAAGCAAAGCAATCAAATGAAAAAGACTCCAAACTGCCATAACTTTTTTAAAAATCTCGTACAGCCCCTATTAGCAGTTTGCTCACCCCCAGAGCTGCCACTGGTGAATCTCTGGTGTATATAATTCCGGCCGACCAACTGGAGCATAAAGCGAGCAATGATGAGTCAGAGACTGAACCTCAGAGCTCCATGGTCAACAGTGTCCAGAGAGAGAAGGCCCAGAGGTGACGATGCAACATCACCTCAGTCAGTCAGTCAGGGGTACAACTGTAGCAGGGTAGACTCTTAAAACAGAAAGAGCTTTGTTACTGTCAGCTGTTTGTTTGACAGACTGACACGTTGTCATGTGACGTCCACTAAACGCTGTGCTGACATGTTTGGGTTTTTTTTTTTCTAGGAAGCTACTTCTGCTATGACAACCCTGCTGCTCTTCAAACCCAGGTCCAGAAGGTAATTAATCACCAGTGAATCGGTAACCACTCCTCCTCCTCCTCCTCCTCCTCCTCCACCTCCTTCATCACATTTACATTCAAACGGCTACAATGTGCTGACGTTGGTGATGTGTCCTGTTCCCAGGATCTGAAGGTGAACACTCAGAGCTTCATGCAGCTCTATGCCTGGTACTCCTGGCCCAACGTGGTTCTCTGCTTCTTCGGAGGCTTTATGATTGACAGAGTCTTTGGCATCAGGTAGAGACTGGAAAATAACATTCTGTCATTCTGTTTGTTGTCAAAGTGAAACAACTCAGTCTCTGTTTCCTTTTTTCACAGGCTGGGGACCATAATCTTCTCCCTCTTTGTCTGTCTGGGGCAGGTCTGGTTCCAGTTCCGTTTACCCTTGTATCCACACCTCTCAACCCCAGTACAAAAGATAAAACTGTGACAAACTGTTTTTTTTCTCTCTCTTTTCTCTGCAGGTCATTTTTGCCACTGGAGCTCTGGTGGACCAATTCTGGTTGATGCAAGCCGGACGTTTTGTATTTGGGTAAAGAAAAAAAGTCCTTTTTGTTGTTTTCCCCACAGATACTCAGTCATGCTCCTGAACACACACTCCAGTTTCATTTTTCTTTCCTCTTCCTCCTCAGTATTGGAGGAGAGTCGTTGGCCGTGGCCCAGAACACATACGCTGTCAACTGGTTCAAAGGAAAGGAGCTGAACCTGGTGTTTGGACTTCAGCTGAGCATGGCCCGACTGGTGAGAACATCGCTAACAGCACGGTGTGAAACACCGCGGTGGTGAAAAGTCACCTGCTGCTGCTGTGTGAAGTGTTTTAACGGAGGCTGAAGGGGGTAGCGCCTTACTGGTTAGCTGGTTTGATCCCTGTGTGTGCGTATGTTTTCTCCAGGTTCTCCAGCCTTCCATCACAGTCCAAAAACATGCAGGGTTACCTTAATTTTCACACTGAATAGTGGTGTGAATGTGAGTGTGAATAGAATGTGTGAGTGTGTTTTCATCTGGGACTCTGCAGTACACTGTCCTGAGTGTAACCCCTGCCCTTGACCAGTAAGTGCTTGGTTTGTTTGACCCCTGGTGACCCCTCCCAGTGAAAAGAATTAATTAACTAAACAGACATTCCACAGTAAATGTCTAATAAACTTAAGCTTAAAAAAATATTTAGATTCTAGCCTCATTTCTCGAAGCCCTCCAGGGTGGGGCTACATTCGTTCAAGGCCTCTAACCAGGCTCAACAGTTTCAGCAGCCTGGCTCCCCACAGACTGAGGCATGGCCACTGAAGGCCACTGCATAGTTGATTTTTACTACCTGGGAAATGGCTTCACAGTGCAGTGCAGGTTTATAAATCCAGTGCACATCTGCCTAAGACTTATGCACAGCACACAATGCCATTGACGTCCGTTGTCTTTGCCCCCCATGTGTCTCCAGGGCAGCACTGTCAACATGAACATTATGGGCTGGGTCTACAGCAAAGTCGCACAGTTGGTGGGTTCTCCTGGTCACACTGCACTGGGCGTGTCACTCATGCTGGGTGAGTGTTACACACTGGTGCTCTGCCGCTGTACAACAGTGAGCCTTCAGTTACACTGTGTGTTACACTGATGATCTCAGGTAACAGTCAGCAGAGACAGAGGAGAGAAGTGGCTCAGACTTGAGAGAAGCAGAAGTGCAGCCGGCTGTCTTACTTTGACTCAGGTTTCATCTGTTTCCACTTTCACTCGCCTTTGGCCTAAATCATAATTATCTCAGTTAAAGTGAGCAGCAGAGATAAGGGTTTTTATTGGTTTCTGGGGCACAGGCAATACAGTGAACGTTGTTTGGACCAGAAGATGAAAAACAACAGGTGTCTATGCTGTAAGTTACATCAGAATTGTCCTATAAAAAAGCCACTGTGCCGTAGGGGTGTGTATCGACAAGAATCTAGCGATACAATACATATCACGATACAGGGGTAATGGTGCGACGTACTGCGATATACTGTGGTACTATAGGCACAACGATATAGTCAGGTTTTGTAGCAATACTGTCAACATAGTAAACACACAATGCTGTTCCATGTTTAACATCAGGTTAGTAAAACTGGAACAGAGGGATTTACATTTGTAATCACTAGAAAAGAAATAAAAGCAAAATAAAGCAAACTAAAGCCATGAATATTTGCATGTTAATGGTTAATAAAAAACATTCAAATTTAATGCAAAGCATTTTTTCAATATATCAATGTATCAATTTCAATATATCAATGTATCAATATTTTCTCATGCCCGTACCATGCAGCATTTACTTTTTACTATTTTACTAATTTGTAGTAGAAATTGTGTAGAAATTGGTGACACAGATATTCTGAGACATTGTGAATGAAATTGTAAAATCGTATTGTGAACAAAAATAATTGTGTATCATACAGTAAGTTGACTCTATCTTTACATCCCTAATTAGGATACAATGTACTAAAAGTAGATATTAGTATAAATATGAGTAAAAACTTTAATTCCCACTTTTCCTTCATCCTTTTCCCCCTCAGCTGCTCTCACCTGCCTGTTCTCACTCTGCTGTGCTCTGGCGTTGGGTTTCCTGGACAGAAGAGCAGAGAAGATCCTCCACAAGGAACAGAGAGGAACAGGTGATGAATTTATATTGGACCCTGAACCCACAGTCGGTGTTGACCACAGTCGGTGTTGACCACAGTCGGTGTTGACCACAGCTGTCACTGTACCACGTGGACCGTACTGTTTCTTACAGAGTGTTATTTCCGGCCCTGTTTCTGTGCAGCCTGTAAATGTGATCGTGTCTGTTGTCGTAGGTGAAGTGATCAAACTGACTGATGTGAAAGATTTCCCCTTCCCTCTGTGGCTCATCTTCATTATCTGTGTGGGCTACTATGTGGCCATTTTCCCCTTTATTGGACTGGGCCAGTGAGTACTGAAGAACACACACACACACTGACACACACACGGTATGTGTGTAGTTGTTTCAAATGAAAGCAGTGTTTTATTGCTTTACTTTAACGTGTGTATAATGTTGTAAAAAAGTCATTAAATATATACAGTATGAGTACAGGCCAAAGGTTTTAGCCAGGTGGATATACTCTCTGTACCCTCCCACCTCACACATTTATGATTTATGGCAAATTTGAAGAAACAAAAGATCATTCTCAAAAATTACAAAACTAGTTCTGCCCCTTGTGGCCGTTTTGAGAATGAATTTAAGAGTTAAAATCCAAATGTGTTTGTTTTTAGCCCTGACTCTGGAATGTGACCATGAAGGTCCTGGCTGAACTGGAAGACAGTCAGAGGTCATGTGGTCCAGCCCATGGTCCACGACCCAGTAATTGTGTTAAAAGAAACTGTGCCTTTTGCAGTTCAGCGATGTTGTTGAGCTCCTTTTTTATGTTGAACATTAGTGGCTGCACTGAAAACCTTAGCAGCTTGCAAGACAGACTGAAGGCTGAACACAAGGCTAATTATCTCATTAGCATGATTACCATGTCCTCTGACACAAAGTCAAAGTAGAGACATTCAACTGTTCCCCTCATGTGTTCCCTCCATTCACAGGGTGTTCTTCATTGAGAAATTCAACTTTTCTCCAGCTGAGGCCAGAGCTGTCAACAGGTACAGTACCTCGGTTTAATATTGTCTAATATTACCCATAATTCCCTGAATTTCCTTTGTGGACATCACTGGTTTCTGTTCCAGTGTAGCACTGGGACCTTTAAAGGTTGTCTGTGGACTACTGTAGGCCCAGGCTCCGTACTTTGACGGACTCTCTCAGGTAAACACCGGTCTTTTCTTTTCCAGCATCGTCTACATCATCTCAGCACCTGCCTCTCCAGTCCTGGGCTTCTTGGTTGATAAGACTGGCAAAAATGTGGCGTGGGTCATGGCTGCTGTGGTCACCACACTCGCTGCTCACATCATGTTGGCCTTCACCTTCTGGGACCCTTGGATCGCTATGGTACTGTTTGGCAAGCTTCACTTCTTTACTCTAGGATGACTTTGGATATTAAACTAGAATGAAGCAGACAGGCAGCCAGGCTGAGTCACAGAGTGGTTGTTTCTGTGTAACTGTGACCCACACAGGCTGCCACAGGAGGTGCCATTGAGTATGTGGTTCCTTTTGCGCGTACGGTAGATGTGTAAGGCAGATGTGATCACCGCTACCCTATGGAACCGCACAAAATCCTCATTTTTTAAGGCTTTTCTAAGACGTTGCAGCTTATGCTAAATTCAGCCAACTTTAAGCTACAATCGCTAGAACTTTGGCTTTGTCGAGGTGTGTGAGCAGAGCACAGTGTCTTTGTTTAGCTGTTTAAATGAAATATGTTTTATAACTCATTTCATTCAGCAAACTGAATGTTATTGGTAACCTGGAAACACAAAAACGACCAGCTGCTCTTAAAGGTACAGTACAGTGAACCGTCAACTTAAAACTGTAAAGTTAGCGAGTAATGCTGACAATCATTTAATCCAGAGTTTAAAAAGGTTTTTCTTGTTTTTTTTCTTCTCATTATCATTAGTATAATCATTATCTTAGCTCCCAACAATCAAACCAAACCAAGGGGGCAGTGCTAGCTGCTAGAATGTGCTTACAGTTTTCTCTGTTTATCACACTGACTTAGTTGGAGTGTTGTTCATATATCAATACAACTGTTTCCTGATCTCATACGTGGAGGAGATAATGAGAGTGGATTTTTGTTTTCCAGTCCCTGCTGGGTGTTTCCTACTCCTTACTGGCCTGTGCCCTGTGGCCCATGGTGGCCTTCATGGTCCCTGAGCATCAGTTAGGGACTGCGTATGGATTGTAAGTAGTCTGATGAATGTGCACTCCTTCATCTGGAGACGTTTTCATGAATACTTTTCACCGTTTAACGTTGTCTTTTCCATTTGTCCAACAGCATGCAGTCCATCCAGAACCTGGGACTGGCTCTCATCTCCATGGCAGCAGGAGCCATCCTGGACACCCATGGTTACCTGGTGTTGGAGGTGTTCTTCTGTGCCTGCATCTGCAGTCAGTATTTACTGTGTGTTTATGAAGGAGATTTGTCTTCTATCTTTACCTTGACACTTTTGACACAGTGTGAGCTGCTCTGTGTTTTTCCCCCTCTCTTTCCTGCAGTTGCCCTCATGGCTGTGGTGACGCTGTACTTTGTGGATTATCTCAGAGGTAAAAATGAACTGGACCTCTTCTCCTGCTTTTGTTTTCTCTCCTCTTTTATTGGATTATGCCTTTGCACCAAATTTTATTTTAATTTTTTTAAATGAACACACACTAATCACAGTTTTTTTTCTTCTCAGGTGGAGGTTTGAACCAATCAGCATCAGCCAGAGCCAAACTTCAGAAAGAAGCCACTTCAGATGCAGAGTAAGTAGCGTCGACTCTCCCCCTCTTCACTTACACAGTTAGAACAGTACCATATAGGACCAAACACTGAGGACATCGACTTCTGTGGTGACGCTGCCTCACCTGCTATAATATATCAAAATAAGTGGTGGAAAAAATGTTTTAAAGTAATGTGCTCAGGTCCGTGCCAGGCAGTGGTCTCCTGAGGTTAAGGTAGCAGACATGAACAGAAACCTTGCAAATTCAAATCCACCCCACACACTGCTCCACAGGCAGCTTATCTGCACGGTGATTGGTTAAATGCAGAGGACACATTTAATTATGTGCAGTGGTACCAGGACTGTTGTAGCTAACATTAGCTCTGGTGTCTGTACCAGGACTGTTGTAGCTAACATTAGCTCTGGTGTCTGTACCAGGACTGTTGTAGCTAACGTTAGCTCTGGTGTCTGTCAAACGAACATTAGGTGCATTACTGCCACCTACGGGGCTGTAGTGTCAGCATCAGCGTTATTGGATTTCCAGAAATTAGAGAACTGAGAAAGAAGTGACTAATTCCTTATTTTCAGTAATTTTCTCTGTGATTGATTAATCAAAATTAACTTAATAAAGCCCAAACCCTTGTGAATTTGAATAAATCTTTTTATTCTCCTACAGTGATTGGACCACACACTAAAATTAAAGAGTTGAGAGTTTCTGTCACAGGTCTCGGGCTCAGAATTTGCAGAATCATGCTTGACTGTGGGTCTCCAGCTCTGGGTGTTAATATATTACAGTGTGGGTGAGTGGAGGGGTGGGCTGGTACTGTATGTGAGGCTTTATTGGGTTCAGTTCAGGTGATGATGAGTCACATTACCTCTCAGATGTTGGTTGGTTGAACTTCCATTTATTCCTGATACAGAGGTGTTAAATCAGGACACTTCACCTCTTACTGTCCTCGAAGCCCGCAGATAATTTTTGACTGGTTTATTTTTGAGTCCTAGACCTGGCGACCTTTAGGCAGACACTTTCATTAAAATCACAGGCTTTTTTTTAATGGAAAACTAAGCACCTCGGTATAAAGACTTCACTTTATGTATTTTATAGCAGTGAAGATGTGAAATTGTTTAGATAATATTTGGTCATATATTTTAGATCAACACTAGGTTGTATTTGTTTGAGCTACATGTTATAATCTAAATGGAGAATGAGATAAGTACCGTGTGAAATACTTTCCCATTTTCTTCATTTGTGTCCACCGTTCTGTACAACACACCCGTGTCCTCAATTTTACCTTCGTTCTTCATCTTCACTGACATGTTATCTAATCTGTGCTGTCACTGGTATTTTCCAGATGATGATGATGAGGAGGAGGAGGAAGATGAGAGCAGCACATGCTGGGCTGAGCATCAGAGACAGCAGGCTGCACTGTCAGCCCCAAATGCTGACGATTGACTGCCATGGGGCAGGACTGATCTTCTGACTCCGCCCAGCGCTCTTGTCATCTTTGGCTCCTCCCACCTGAACTGACTGTCTGACCCCAGTTTTTGCACAATCCTGTTTTTAATGGTTGATCTCCTCTCGGACCTGTTAATGACTCCTTCCACACTGACCTGACTTGTCATCAACATCACCTACCCTGGTGACTTGTTCCAATGACTCTACATTGACTCGTCAAACTCTCGGGTGACTTTGGCTAACTGCAGCGATTCATTTTAGTGACTTGTCACACCGACCTGTCACAGAGACTCAGTCAGTGGTCACACTAATTCATCTTCATGAAACCTCACACTGACTCGTCACACTGACTTGACGCATTGACTTGTCTCTCTGACTCGTGATGTTGACTTGTCAGTGTAACAAGTCTGACCTCATCTCTACCTCTGACTTTCCAGTTTCCGCTGAAGCTTCCTTATTGAAGAAAAGATGCCTAAATCATTCTAAAACTCATAAAAGGACAACCTTAAGTCCTGCAGAACCAATCCTGTGGAAATGTGCCTAAAGAAAAGAACCTAAAAGTATAAGATGTTTATGGAAGTCAGATTTTATACATACGAGAGGATTTTAATTTCATTCTGCTTTTACTTTTTTTATAAACAACTAAATACTCAGTGTATATATTTTTTATGGATTTATTGTAAAGAAAATACAACAAAATTATTTTATCATTCATTGATTCATATTCAGTTTTATTGAGATGGACTTCAGCACTTTACTTTTGAATCTCTCAGTTCTGTGTTAGTCCTCAGTCCTGCCATGAAGTTTTCTTTTTTTATGACGTACTTTTTCAGCTCAGGGTCCTTGTGGTGAGTACTTGACAGTAATGTTGCTCACATTCCTGTTCTAAACATGTGATAATTATTCACATAATTATATCTCATCATTTCACCTTAAATAAACAGCTGTGATCAAGTTATTACCAAAGCAGCACAGAATGATCTTGTAAACTTCATGAATTATAATTGTCATTCCACATTTGAAACCTACTGTCAGAACCATTATTTTCTTTACTGTTTTCTATTTTGCACTATTTTAATTTAGCAGCTGATTTTACAGTGGAATTTCACACTGCAACAAATATTTACAAAAATGTGAGCAGGAGAAAACAAAAAAAAAGTTCAATTATTTGTAGTAAACTGAAACAAAAGGTTATGGGGAAAAAAAATCTTGAATCATTTGAAAACATCAACTCTTTTTTGTATGAACTTTAATGGAACAGTAATTAACATCATTAAAGACAATCCTGGACTTCACTTTAAACGCCTCCTTATTCTTCACTGTTTTTTTCTTCCACAGCATCATTTGTGGAAATGATTTATGTTCTAGTCCTTCAACAAAAGCCTGGGTGTGATTTATTCTGCTGCTAATATTTACATAATTGTGCTCCTGTTAGTGCCGGCTGTAGAGATGATAAAGGTGCCGGCGTTATTGTTATTAATCCCGCAGGATTAAACGGCGGCCGAGCCAGCTGACGGAGGATGAATTTGTAAGAATAGCACCCATGTCTGGATTTGCCCTCCGCAACAGATACCTCTCCAGGCTGGGAGCTCAGGTACACACACACACACACACACACACACAGATCATTGAGGGTTGGACACAGTTCAGATTAAATCCTTGTTTTGCTGAGTTAATCTCTCACCTCTGGTTTGTTTTGTTGGGAGAAGCACCAATTCAACAACAACAACAACAACAACTCCTCCACTGAAGCTGTGGTCTCCTCTGCCTCTGTACTCACTCTGTCTTCTCTTCTCTGCTCTCAGCTCCCAGACCACTGCTCTACCCATCTGTCATCACTTGCCCGCAGGAGCATTTTGAAATGATGCCCCTCCTGCACTCTACGCTACAAACAAGTATGTTCCACAAAAGAGGACGTCTCTAGATTGACTGTTATTCAAGTAAAAAAGAACCAAACAAACGTGATTTTTACCTGTTAATGTTTAAAAAAGGCAGATGTTTATACTGTTAATTTAAGATAAAAACCAATAAAGTGTCATCGTGTGACCTGACAATTAACAAGGCTTTAGTTCACGAAGGGCAACAGTGATCAAAATGCTGAAGACTGCTAAAGGATAAGGGTTTTCTTCCATACATAATTCAACTCTATACCTCAAGTAAATCTCTTTATTAATTTATATTTGCAATATAATATATACATTAATATTAAATGGAGTAAACTGTTGCCATCTGTCCTTGTGTCATTTCTTTTTTGGGCTGGGTAAGGGAGGAGTTCACGTCACTTAATCAGGTTTTCTCCAGCCGTGAAAAAGACAAATAAAATATATTTTTACAAAATATTGACGATTCCAACCGACTTGGACCAGGTGGCTAAGTGGTTTCTCAGGATTTAAGGACTGGGGCTGTTCATGTTGGGGTCACCACTGTCTCTCACAACAGAGCAGATCCAGGTGACAGTGATGAGGAATCCAATCAGAATATGGTCAAATAAAAAACTCTTCGTTAAAGAAACAGTCCTGTTAACATCTATCATTTAGATGTATTCTATTCTATTATTGTAAATGCATACATATACAAATATATTCCAATAATGTGCAAATACACATACATACAGATGGCCTGTCCTCTACAGTCATTCCTGAGGTGTAGTTCAACCCCGTGATCACGTGACGTGTACTGAATAAAAAACGGTGACAAATACCGGTGCACGTGTGATTGTCTTTCCCCCTGAGAGAAGTCCTGCAGATAATTAATACTGTGATAAAATTCCATTACCAAATTAATGTGACACCCTGACACGCGCATACAGTGCGCTGTAGCCTTCGTGGACGCGCACACGCGAAGTTTTTCATTGGCTGCTCCAACGTCTCTAAGTCTGCTCTCTCTCCCTCTCTCTCTCTCCCCCTCCCTCCCTCCTTCCCTCCCTCTCCCTCTCTCTCTCTCCCCCCCAGTCCCCGGCTGCTCCAGATCCGGAGTGTTCATTTCATCTGTGCCTGACCGCGGAGACAGAGACACGCGCGCACGCACACAGAGGTCGTCATGCTGAAGAACGGCTCGTACAGGTCAGTGTCACTTCCACCCACAGATCCTGCTCAATCCTGCGCGGTGACAGCGCGTGTGTCAGGCTTGAAGGTCTGAGCTGCTCAGACTCACATGCAGAGAGCAGAATCACGGCTCCAACACATCATCATCATCTTCATCATCTCCATCACTCCCATCATCAGCAGCAGCAGCAGCAGCTCTGAGGAGCCCGGGCTTCACACACACTCACAGCTTTGAAGCTCCATTCACATTTGGAGAGTTGTGCCGTCCTAACTTGAGCGCTGTCCTTCCAGGAACATGTACCAGGGAGGGGAGGCGAGGCTGCGCGGCGGCACTCAGTCCGTGGCTCGGGAGAGAAAACATCTCGCTCTGTGCATCAACAACCAGGTGAGAGACGTTTCTGACACCAGCACTGGACATATTTCTAGAGCCCTGTAGGAGTACTGCGCTGTCTGGTCAAATGTAGTACCACACTTGGAGGCAGCGTCTCCTTTTTTTTTTTCTATCTCAGGAATGATGTCATTCTCTTTCTGATCTTTTTTTAGACCCGTAAAAGTTGACGCTCATTTGTGTCAGTGGCCACAGTTCACACAAATATTTTGAAAAACAAAACAGTTTTTCTTTAACGGTTACCAGGAGACACAAATCAGCACCACGGACAGCGCCGTGTTTTAAATATCCGTCTGAAAACTCGTGCTACTTAATTCATTACTTGGTTAATTTGAACCAAATGAACAGGCTTACCTTTAAGGCTTTTTTTTGCAGCCATAAGAGAGACAACAGCAGTGGCCAAATGACTTCTACTTGAACAAATGCCTTCTCTGGTCAGATTGTGCTACAGTTAGAGTTAGAGGTAGTATCTGCTTTTCTGGAACATCTCAGCAGTGATGTCATTCCCTTCTTTTTATAGATCATTTAAAGTTGAGGCTTCGTTTTGTCACAGTTCATAAAAATATTTATTTGGGGAGTAAAAAATAACCTTTCGTTTTTGTAGTTGGAAGTCAGCACCACCTACAGCTCCGTGCTTTACAAAAATGTGATATTTTGATATCTGATATCCATACTTTACGTACGAGCCTATATTTGACTTGTGTTGGAGTATAACAAATACACAATATATTAGATGGGTTTGGAAACTGACCTGGGGCCAGTTTGAGCTTTTGTCTCTGCACATTAACAGCTGGATGAGACATATCTGAGACCAGCTGTGGTGAATTTGACATTTGAATTCTACAACAACTGTGAACTACAGAGGGGGAGGCATCGTCCTCTCTCCCTCTCTCCCTCTCTCCCTCTCTCCCTCCGTCCCGTTTGTTGTAGAACATCTGAGCATTAATGTAACTATGTTATTCTCCGATCTTTAGTAGAGTGTCTTTTTTTAATAGCTCAGTTTGCATGACATTTTTAAAAAGAAATAATGACGTAATTTTTCAGTAGCTACAATAAATTACTTTTTCTTGCTGTAATTGTAAATTTTAGTTTGGTTTGGACTAATGCAGGTGCTGGTGTAAAACTGTCCTCTGTGCAGCAATATATATAAAGAGACATATCTGAGATTGAATATATCCACAGCAGAAGCAGATGTGCCTCCTCTTCTTTGTTGAAACATTACAGCAATGATTTTATGTTAATTTATTGCCAGTTTTTACCTCATGAAAAAATCCAGCACCATGGACAGAGCTATTCTTCCCAAGATTTTTCTGCTTGTGTTTCTCATTTAAATAACATTTAAATCAAATGGACATTTTCCTGCGACATTTCTATTTACTTTTTAGCTTTGCTTTTTGTTTTTGAATCTGAGGGGAGAGAGGGGGCCGGGGCTTTAGGGCCAAGTTAAACTGGAACAACCAAAAAGAAAAATGAACTTCTGCTTCTACCTGATTTAATGATATGTCAATTAGCCTCCTAATTTGCAGCAGTGTGATTCTTGCCTCCGAGTCTCCAGTTTGCAGAGGTGCACCAGTTCACCTGGTCGTACTGAGGTTCTGAATTTTTAATGCCAGTGATGTAGTGTTGCGCATTATCGGCAGCAGGGCTTATTGAGCGCACAAGCTCTCAATGCACTGTTTCATCACAGCCTTCCACTCTGCAATACAGTAAATTATAATGCTGCAACTCCCTAACACAAACACCCCCATCAACACACACACACACACACACACACTCAGATTTAATGCCCATCTTTCCTAAACTTTCTGAATTAGACTTCAGCTGTTACCGGTGATTCACCTCCCACAAAAAAATGACCTTTTCACGTTGAGCCCAAAGTGATTCACCATAAGTCAGGTTAATCTGTTGGCCATTGGAAAAGACAGGGAGAATCCAATGCCAAGGAACTTACCAGGAATTGGTGTCTGAAATATGAGTGAGGCCAGAAATGCAGGTTATTGGATCTGGAGGCAGCTTGACTGGGTGTCTGTGTGAGTAATTCATGGCTGCGTCGCTCAGCCCTGAGAAACACATTCATCTATTTAACTATTACCTTGTAATCAATGGGAGAGCAGGATTTTACTGCCGCACGCAGCTTATTTAAACAGCATGGCATGAAGGGGTCACATTTAATGGGGGTGGGCATGAAATACACATTACAGGTGACACTGTTGACACAGCAGCTGCAAATGAAATCTTTAAATCTTCCATCAATATCAGGCACACATACCACCCCCCTCCCTCTCTCTCCCCCTCCACGTCCGCCCGACCCCTCCTTGGTGCATGAAATGGAATCACCATAGAAGAAAGACACGCGTCCTAACACAGGCGTCCTGTTTGAGTCAGTCCTGTCGGTGTTCAACGGCAGCAGGGAGATAAAACANNCATTTATACACGGCTCCTTAACGTCGGGGCGTTCTGTGATGTAAAGAACAATGTACTTGTAGTAGTGGTACTGTCAGGCCAGGGCCGGGTGTCATATTTCAGCAGTGCATTATGGTCTCACCCTCAGTTGGAGGAGCTGTGCTGAGCAGCGTTTGTGTCAACTCACTCAAACGCCCCTCGATTGAGTCGTAACAGCCTTCGCAGTGCAGGGATGAGTCTGAGCGCTGACAGAGAGAAGTCTCCAGGGCTGCGAGGGCCAGTCGACAGAAAGACATAAAGTACACCCAAGTATCTGTATCTGCATGTAGTACCTCCTACAGTTTTCTGCTACGTGCACTAGATAAACCCCATCTCTCACAGTCACTTCAACACAAATGTTTTCCACGCTCGACCTTTAAAGTCTTGGACCGGTGGTGAGGTCTAAAGGAGTGAGCCCTGC